GTTTTTCGAGACAGGGTTTCTCTGCGTAGCTTTGCGCCTTTCCTGGAGCTCACTTGGTAGCCCAGGCTGGCCTCGAACTCACGGAGATCCGCCTGGCTCTGCCTCCCGAGTGCTGGGATTAAAGGCGTGCGCCACCACCGCCCGGCCCCCACAGAAGCTTTTTAAAAAGGATTTTTAAATTTATTTTAATTAAGTGTGTCTGTATGTGGGTATGTATTCATGAATGCAGGCCACCAGAGGCCTAAGGCGTTCCAACCCTTGGAGCTGGAGTTACAGGTGGATGCGGGGGCTGACTCAGGTCCTCGGGAAGAGCAGTCCATGCTCTTAACCCCTGAGCCATCTTGTCAGCCCATCTCCCAGGCACTTTTATTGCATCAGGAAATTACCAGTTATATGCCAGGGTGTGAGTGTGGGCGTCAGAGGACAACTTGCAGGAATCAGTTCGGCTCTTTCCTTCCAAGGTGTGTCCTTGGGATGGAATTCTGGTGTCCCGCTTGCAGGGGGGTGCCTTTGCTGCCCTGGAGACATCTCCAGCCTGCCTCCCTTTGTATGTTTGGGATTTTTAACATAGCAATTGATAAAAATCTTTCTTCTCCCCTAAATCGCTGAATTGGAATTTGATAATCATGGCCAAAATAGTTAAACTTTATTATTATTTTTTATTATTTTTTTTAATTTATTTTCAGAAAGCATTATCCTTTATTTCCTAATGACAGTGAATGATTGTAGTCACAGGCTTACCCTTGTGCATCGTGGTAATGCTAGTTAGCCGTGGTGATTTTTCTCCCCACAGTAAAGTTGCCCTCGGTGGCTGCCCTTGCTTAGGTGATCACATTGTATCTGCAGAAGGCCTGATTGTTTTTTCTTTTGGTGATTGCGTTTGTCTATGCACTGCCTGCATGCAGTGCTCAAGGAGACCAGAAGAGGGCATCAGATCTCCTGGAGCCACCTGACAAAGATTGTTGAGACCCAAACCCTTGTCCTCAATAGCAGCCTGGGACAGGCTCTCTCTTGTTACACTTGCTGTGTAACTGAGGATGCCTTGAACTTTTTTTTTTTTGGGGGGGGGGTGGCTTTTTGAGATGGTCTCTATGTAACCCTGGCTGTCCTGGAACTTGCTTTGTAGACCACGCTGGCCTTGAACTCACAGAGAGCACTCAGGAGTGTTGGAATTAAAGGCCTGTGCCACCATGCCTGGTAACCTTGAACCCTTGATCCTGATGCTTCCACTTCCCACCTCCCTGATTACAGGCATAAGCTATGGAATCAAGGTTTTTATGTGACCTCTAGGCTCAAGCCCACGGCTTCCCACATGATAGGCAAGCAGTCTACCAACCGAACTGTATCCCCAGCCCAGACTTTTTTTTTTTCTAGAGACATGGTTTCTCTGTGTAGTTTTGGTGTCTGTCCTGGATCTTGCTCTGTAGACCAGGCTGGCCTTGAACTCACAGAGATCTGCCTGCCTCTGCCTCCCGAGTGCTGGGATTAAAGGCGTGCGCCACCAGTGCCCGGCTCAGCCCAGACGTTTTTTTTTATGTCACCTGATGTCAAAATAAAAGTTGCAATTTTTCATATTTAGAAGGAAAGCACCATTACTATGCTTTCTTCTTCTTCTTCTTCTTCTTCTTCTTCTTCTTCTTCTTCTTCTTCTTCTTCTTCTTCAGTACTGGAGATCAAACCCAGAGCCACGTGCATTCTAGGCTAGCATTCTGCTACTGAACTAAATCTCCTGTACCTTCAGAGCTCTTCACATTTCTCATAAATTTTGAGACAAGATACTGCAGTTTCCAAACTGACCGTGAACTTTCTCTGTAGTCCATGGAGGCTTAAACTTGACTTTTCTGCTGCGGCCTCCCAAGTGCTAGGATTCCAGGCGTGTGCCCCCAAACCTGGCTTTGTGCTCGATTTATTCGATAGACTTACGGAGATCATCCTGCTAGGGCCATCAGCTCTTTTGGTATTATTTTGGTATTGGTAAAGAAAGACTCAGGCCGTTATTTAGTTACGTACCTGAACATTCCTGATTTGGAAGAACAGCTAAGATGTATGTGTGTGTCTACATGTGTATGTCTGCATTTACTGACTTCTGATGGTACTAGGGATTAAGCCTCCATCCAACCTTGTGCATGCTGGACAAATGCTCTACTGAGGTGCGTCTCCTGTCTCCAGACTTCTTCCCTTGCTAGTGATACAGGATGTCACTAAGCTACCCAGGCAGGCCTTGAACATCTGATCCTCCTGTCTCAGCCTCTCATAGAGCTAAGATTATAAGTGTGTGTGTGTGTGTGTGTGTGTGTGTGTGTGTGTGTGTGTGTGTTTCTGTCGCTCTCTGCCCTCGAGACAGGCTCTTTCACTGAACTGGACACTCATAGTTTCACTTGGGCAGGCTAGCCAGCAGGCCGTCATGGCTGCCCACCTCCACCCTCCAATGCTGGGGTTGCAGGTACACACACACACACACACACACACACACACACACACACACACACAGAGCCATGCCCAGCTTGTCAGGTGGGTGCTGGGGTTTGCTCAGGTCCTCATCCCTGAAGAACGGGCACTGTTAGCCACTGGACTGTCTCTCCAGATCTGTAACTAAATACTGAAGATGATGTCACTCCCGTTTCGTGAGTTGAAATTGTGCTTTATATATTTTTTTTCCAGTGAGAAAATCATTTTTGAGTTATAACAAAACTATTTGGGGCCCCCTGGAACTGGTGGAGAAGCTGTACCCAGAAGCAGAGGAAATCGGAGCGAGTGTCCGGGACTTGCCTGGCCTGAAGTAAGTATGTTTGGTCATCCCCAGAGGTTCACGTGTGGCCTCTCCGTACTTAGTCTAAGGATTGCTTCTGTTTTCCCATCAGAAGTCCAGCTCACTCTATAACTCAGCCCATACTGGCTCCTTCATTAAGTTTTCCTAAGTCCCTTCATCGAGAATTAAGAATTCACCACTGAGAAGACCAGTAGGGAGGCTGAGCCTGGCAGATCTCTGTATGTTCAGGGCCAGCCTGGTCTATATAGAGAATTCCAGGCCAGCCAGGGCCACAGAGTGAGTCCCTGTCTCAAAAAAAAAAAAAAAAAAATGTTGAAAACTTTTCTCAGGTAAGAAATTGTTTTTTTTTTTTGGAGGGGGTAGTTGAGACAAGGTTTCTCTGTGTAGCCCTGGCTGTCCTAGAACTCACTCTGTAGACCAGGCTGGCCTTGAACTCACAGAGCTCACCTGCCTCTGTGCACCCCCCCACCTCACCCTACCACACACCCTTGGAATTAAAGGCGTGTGCCATCACTACTGCTCGGCTTGATTTTTTTGAGACAGGGTTTCTCTGTGTAGCTCTGTTTTAGTACTCACTACGTAGCCCAGGCTGGCCTCGAACTCACAGAGCTCTGCCAGTCTCTGCTTCTGGAGTGTTGGGATTAAAGCATGTGCCACCATGTCTAGCTCCACCATTTTTTAACTTTTAACTTTTGATATTTGTGTGTGTGTGTGTGTGTGTGTGTGTGTGTGTACGTGTACTCACACATGAGCATATATGTATGATGTAGGTGTGTGGGAGTGAGGGCATGTGGGTGCCATGGTGGTCAGAGGACAACTCTCAGGGTCAGCCCTCTCCTTACACCGTGTGACCGGAGGCTGGAACTCAGGTCACCAGGCTTGCGTGACAAGCACCTTTGACCCCCTGCACCCTCTCCCCAGCCCTTAGTCCTTCTGAAGAAGATGACTTAGTTGTTTTGTTCCCCGCAAACATTTATGTCTATGTGTGCACATGTTCCAGTGTGTGTGTGTGTTTCTGTGTGCTTGCGTGAGCACACACAAAGGCACATGTGCCATGGTGTAGCTATGAAGGCCCATCCCGCTATGATATAACACCTCTTACAGAAGTGTAATATTCTAGAGAGCTCTTTCTTCCGAAGCATACGGTGGTACTTAATAACTTGAGGCTGGAGAGGCTGCTCAGTGGTTAAGAGCACCAGCTGCTCTTCCAAGGAACCTGTGTGTGTTTCTTAGCACCACACGGTATCTCTAGTCTCGGGGATCCTATACCCACTCTGGCCCCCACAGGCAGGCACTGCACCTACATGGTGCACAAACATACATTCAGGCAAACACATGTACATAAATAAAAATAAAATCTAAAAAACTCCCACAAAATCCCCCAAACCTTACCAGAGCAGGTTTTGCTGACCTCTTGAGATAAAATTGCTTACTCAAAAAACTAGCATAAGTCAGGCGGTGGTGGCCATGCCTTTAATCCCAGCACTAAGGAGGCAGAACCAGGCAGATCTCTGTGAGTTCGAGGCCAGCCTGGTCTACAGAGCGAGATCCAGGACAGGCTCCAAAGATACACAGAGAAACCCTGTCTCGAAAAACAAAACAAAAACAAACAAACAAACCAAACTAGCATAAGGGGCCGAAGAGATGGCTCAGCTCTTTGAGGGAACATGGGTTTGCTTTCTCAGCACCCACACGGTGGCTCCCAGCTGTTTATATCCCCATCAGGTTCCAGGGGATCCAGTGCCCTCTGCAGGCACTGCATGCATATAGATGCACACAAAACAACCATACACATAAAATAAAATTAGAAACCAGCATAAAGACCAAGGAGATTGCTCAATGGGTAACGTGCTTGGCCACACAGGCATGAAAACCTGAGTTTGGATCTTCAGAACCTGTGTGAAAACCAGGTGCCTTGGGTGAGGAGGCAGAGCCCAGAAACCCTCCCTGGGCAGCACAGTTTAGGTGCAGGGGAGACCATGTCCAAAAATAAAGTGGAGAAGTGATAAAGGCATCCCGAGACCAGCCTTTGGTTTCCACGTGTGCCCTCTTGGCGGAAAGAGCACAGGTGTGCCTTGCACACCCACACACATCAGCATCAAGGTGATAAAATGCCTCTTTTGGTCAAAGCGTGCTTCAGCAGATACAGCGTGCGGCATGGGTGGCCGTGACTTTAGCACTAAGGCTGATTTCTAACTCCTTGGTTCTTGTTTCTAGAACTCCCCTGGGCCGTGCTAGGGCGTGGCTCCGATTAGCCCTCATGCAAAAAAAAATGGCCGATTACCTGCGTTGCTTAATTATCCAGAGGGAGCTCCTGAGGTCAGTATCATTAAGTCATGTTCATTTTTTTTTTTAATTTAACTTATATCTTATTATCCAAAAAAGAAGTGAAGATCTATGAAATACCGTAAAACAAAAGGAGACCAAAATGAGAAGGCCAAGGATCCGGTAGGGACATAACACCAATGCGAAGCGAGCCTAGGACAAATACCACTAGCTTCTTATCCCACAACATGGGGTGTAGCTAGAGTTTTCCTGCCTGGCCCACAGTCAGGACAAATCTCTGTCACCCGCCAGTCCCACAGCTGCTCAGATCCAACCAAATAAACACAAACTTCTATTGGTTACAAACTGTATGGCCGTGGCAGGCTTCTTGCTAACTGTTCTTATAGCTTAAATTAATCCGTTTCCATAAATCTATACCTTGCCACGTGGCTCGTGGCTTACCGGCGTCTTCACATGCTGCTTGTTATGGTGGTGGTGGCTGGCAGTGTCTCTCTCCGCCTTCCTGTTCTCTTAATTCTCCTCTCTGTTAGTCCCACCTATACTTCCTGCCTGGCTACTGGCCAATCAGTGTTTTATTTATTGACCAGTCAGAGCAACACATTTGACATACAGACCATCCAACAGCACTTCCCCTTTTCTTTTCTTTTTTTTTTAAAAAAGGAAGGTTTTAACTTTTACACATCTCCAAAGCCAGCTTGGTGTATTTGGGAATTTGGGCGTAGCTTCTCTTACTACTTCCTGCTGAAGGGGGGCACTGTATCTTATGTGGACAGAAAGAAAATTTTAGGATTATGGAGTAGTCCGTGAGGGTATATCGTCTGAGCCAGTTGCCTTGAAACGGTTCTGGATGTTGGATCATCTGGGCCTTGGTGTCATTGGAGACCTTTCAGGGGGTCTTGGCTGGTCAAACCTGATGTATCTTAATCTGGAACAAATCCATAGCCTCTGGCTTTCTGTAGAAACAAAAGCAGAGCCTCCTTTCCAAAGCAACATATCCTTACATCCAAATTTTGAAGTCAAGATACCTTTAAAATATACATTTTGGCATAACTGAACAGCTTTTGCAATCAAATGTGTTTTTTTTTTCAGTTATGAATATCAAAGAGAACATAATCCAGATTCTCTGTGTGGTAGCCATCTTTACATGGCTTATTTTTACATTACCTTGAGCCTATTGCTTTAAACTGCAGCCTTCTAAGACTGAAAAGGCACTGTGGCTGCTGGCTCTGCCCACTTCAGCTTCCCAACATGGCAGTGGTACATTTTCCGCCAGTTCTGGGAGCCATCAACTCTCAGAAATAGTGGGTCTATGCTTCTTATAAAGCAGTGTGTAGCCCAGAAACCTCTTTTTGGTTTTGTACTAGCAAAGGCTAAATCCACCACGCAGCTTAATGTGCCACTTGCAGAGGCCTCATTCCCGCCATACAGCAAGTCAAGCACACATGCCAGGAACCTGCCCATAGTAGACAGTAGCTCAAATGCACAGGCTGCCTCTAACTTGAAAGAGACAACTAGGAACTGTGTTTAGCTCTGTTTTAGAATCTTTTTAGTCAGGTTTTAGGTGGAAACTCTTGCCAACATGTTGGGTGCATGTTGAGAGGAGAATTGAGAGAACAGGAAGGCAGAGGGAGACACTGCCAGCCCCCGCTGCCATGACAAACAGCATGTGAAGATCCTGGTAAGCCAGGAGCCACGTGGCAAGGTATAGATTTATGGAAATGGATTAATTTAAGATGTAAGGACTAGATAGCTAGCTAGAAGCCTGAGCCATTAGGCCAAACAGTTTAAATAATATAAGCGTCTGTGTGTTTATTTTATAAGTGGGCTGTCGGACTGCTGGGGCTTGTCGGGACCCGGAGAGAAAACTCTCCAGCTACAATGGGGTAACTTAAGCATGTTTCCAAGTTGATTCCCTTCCTCAGAATTGCAGTTTTGTGGACACAAATTTGCATTGGGATTTGGGAGTCTAATTGCACATTTCTTCTTTAGATTTTTAATGTCCAGATGAATGCTTCAGCTATATCATGAGTATTGTTGAAGTGAAGGTCAGATGTTGAAGGCAGCTTTCAGAGCAAGGCAATCAGTCTTTGAGGGGAGTGGGCCCAGGGCAGCTCTCGTCCTGATTCCCTTGGCTTGCCTCTGGGCTATTTGGGGAATACCATTCTGTGTCTAGGTTTTTTTGTTTTTGAGACAAGGTTTCTCAGTGTAGCCTTGGCTGTCCTGAAACTTGCTCTGTAGACCAGGCTGGCCTCAAACTCACAGAGATCCACCTGCCTCTGCCTCCGGAATGCTGGAATTAAAGGTTTGCGCCACCACCGCCCGGCCCCTGTGTTTGGTTTTATTCGTGACTCTGGCTTCACGTCTCAGTTTTTCCATTTGTTAAATGAAAATGGCCATAGTTGAAGCTCTGGGATTTCTCAGCACCAGTTAAAGCTGTAAATGATACACGTGTGAGTTGGTGGCACCAGAGCTTGCTTTTCCCAGTTATAAAAATCTGGTAACTTCATTGTTAGACTATTCTCTTTGCAACTACCTCTCTCTCTCATCAGGGTCCCATATAGCACAGTCTGATCATGAACTTGCTGTGTAATCAAGGATGACCTTGAGGTCTTGATCCTCTTTGCTCCAAGTACTAGGATTACAGGTGTGCACTACCATGCCTGGGGAGAAGTCTTGCTTGGACACTTTTTAGACTGTAGTTGTCCATGTGTCCTTAGTTGACAATTCTCTACCCATTAAGAATACTTAGAGGGCTAGAGAAATGGCTAAGTGATTAAGGGCACTTGTTGCTCTTCCAGAGGACCAGGGTTCTGTTTCCAGTACACACATGGCAGCTCACAACTATCTAATTCTGGGAGATCCAATGATTTCTTCTGGCCTTTGGGGGCACCAGGCACACACATGGTGCACATACATACATGCAAACAAAATGCTCATACATGCTGGGCGGTGGTGGCACACGCCTTTAATCCCAGCCCTTGGGAGGCAGAGGCAGGTGGATCTCTGTGAGTTCAAGGCCAGCCTGGTCTACAGAGCAAGTTCCAGGACAATCAGGGATACACAGAGAAACCCTGTCTTGAAAACTGCCCCTCTCCTGCCAAATGCTCAAACACATAAAATAAATCTGTTTGTTTGTGACAGGATATCACTATGTTGTAAATGGAGAATTTTTCTCCAGCTCCCGCCAGTCCCGGAGCCCACTTATAAAATAAACACACAGACTCTTACATTATTTAAACTGCTTGGCCATTAGTTCAGGCCTATCATTGTCTAGCTCTTACTCTTATATTTAGCCCATTTTTATTAATCTATACTTTGTCGTGTGGCTCATGGCTTACTGGTACCTTACATCTTCCTTGTCCTGGTGGTGGCTCTCTCTCTCCTTCCTGTTCCCTAACCTGGCTGGCTTGGAATTTGCTATGTAGACAAGGCTGTTCTCTAACTCATAGAGATCTGCCTGCCTCTACTTACTGAGTGCTGAGATTAAAGGCATGAGCTGCCACAGCCAGCTATTCCAAAGGTCTTAATAAATCTGGAGACTGAAATTTCAGCTCTAATTGCAAGTATCATAATCAAATCATTAGCAGCAGTTACTGAGTCCTGAGAATCCAGCATTCCAGGCCTCAGATTGCCTTTCTCTCCTGACTCTAAGACAAGGGTCCACAAGCTGGAGAGATGGCTCAGCAGTTAAGAGCACTGGCTTCCTCTTCTAGAAAACGTGGGTTCAGGTCCTAACATCCACAATGGCAGCTCACACTGTCTGTGATTCCAGTTCTAGGGGTCCTAATGCCTTCTCACAGCCTCTGTGGGCACTGTACTCATGTGGCATACATAGATACATGCCAGTAAAACACTCACACATATAAAATAATTGTAGACGAAACTCTAAATGGTCTTATTAAATAAGAAACGCAGAGTCAGCCGGGCGGTGGTGGCGCACGCCTTTAATCCCAGCACTCGGGAGGCAGAGGCAGGCGGATCTTTGTGAGTTCGAGGCCAGCCTGGGCTACCAAGTG